CCTTCAGAGCAGAGTGCCACATGGAGCAGCCCTGTGCTTAAAATAGTGGCTGCAATGTGCCTGAGGGTCCTGGCAGGGTGGTCCATGGGTTGAAACTGGTGTCTTGGTGGGCTAGATCTGGCCTGCAAGATGTATCTTCCCCACCCTTGTTCTAGACCCTTCTATTCAAACATTGTTTAAATCTTGCTGCTTCTGCCTATAATACGTATGTAGGATCTGTCCTTTACTCTCCAGCCATACTACTAAAATTCTCCTCCAGACCTTGATTATCATGTGTATTAACTACTGCAACATCCTTCTCTCTAGTGTTAACATATCTAACCTTTCCTGATTTAATGTCCATTTAAAACACTACAACAAAAAATCCTGTTTCACCCCGTTGATCATGTCATATCTGTTCTTTGCTTTGCTCCATTGGCTCCTCCTTCTTCATCACAACATCAAACACAAACTACTTATTTTCAGGTTTAAGGCACTCCACAGTCTATCCCTGCTATAGCTGTGATCTTATGTATACGTACAAGATGGCAATTCCTAACTCCATTCTGGAAATGACCCTGCCCTTGATAGTCCTTTTGTCAAATTTTCCAACAAGTGCCATCATGTATTCTCATATGTCACCAGGTTTGTGAGAAAGGAGCTCTCTGTAAAAATGTGTAAGTCCACTACATTATCCTCCTTGGGTATGTCTATACTAGCCCCCTAGTTCGAACTAGGGAGGCTAATGAGGGCGACCAAAATTGCAAATGAAGCGCGGGATTTAAATATCCCGTGCTTCATTAGCATGTTCCTGGGCGGTCGCCATTTTGGAAATTGACTAGCCCGGAATAACTGCCCGCGTCTACACACGGCAGTGAAATGGGAGTTCGAAGTAAAGCCCTAACTCGAATTAGCTGTTATTCCTCCTGGAATGAGGTTTAACAGCTAATTCTAATTAAGGGCTTTACTTTGAACTCCCGTTTCACTGCTGCATGTAGACGCAGGCAGTAATTCCGAGCTAGTCAATTTCCAAAAATGGTGACCGCCCAGGAACATGCTAATGAAGCGCAGGATATTTAAATCCCATGCTTCATTTGCAATTTCGGTCGCCCGCATTATCCTCCCTAGTTCGAACTAGGGGGCTTGTGTAGACACACCCCTTTAAATCTCTCCTTTCAACCCACATAAGACCTGGTACCTGTGGAACACATGAGAGTGGTCAGGCACATTGTGTGCTTTGTTACTACCTATTTCACTGTTCATGGCTGTCACTATTCTCTTGTGCGCCACCCCCATCCAGTTACTAAGTCCAATATAAACTATTAGAATGTACGTTCTTTTTCTACAACAATATAAATAATAAACCAAGCATGTCTCTTGCTGTTGGGAAAGGAGAAGAGAGGTATTGCCATTGTTTCTTTTTTGTCTTAGGAAACTTTTAGATGCTATGGTGAGAGACACCAGGATCCAAGCTTATAAAACTACTTGCTAAATGGATAGAGACAATTTGGCACTAACAATGCTAACGTGAAGGCATCAGTTTATGCAGAAATGCAACAATTCATATGCTGAGAATCCCAAATACAATTACATTTTGTAGACTGAAAACATGCTTTTATATACCTCAGAACTATTTTCTATGCCTTTATGGCCTAACTAAACTAAAAGTTTCCATTATAATTTTCCATATTTCCTATGGGCTTGTCTACACATACTGTGGTAACGTGCTCTCCAGGAGTGTGCTTTTGAAAGTGCACTAATTATTTCCCACTAATTGATCTGTGTAGACAACATGTACTAAAGACTCCCGATGTACCTTAATGTAGTACTGTTTAAAGCGCACCAGCAGGGTTTACATGAACCAGTTAACGCACAGCATGTCAATCTGCTTTAGAAATTACACATCCACAGAGTATAAGGCCCTACCATGTAGACAAGCCCTACCAGAAAGAGGCATTTCAATAATCATAGAAAGGGTATTAGACAGACAGATTCCACGTCTGAATGGATATCACCAGCACATGGAAAATACACTGTTACAGTGTTTCTGGAATACTAACTAAAATGTTGTTTTTAAAAATAGTTCTGAACTGCAAATTTTGGACCTGAACTTCCCCAAATGCTGATGAGGTTTGTATCTGAAGGATGGTTATAGGCCCATTTCTAGCTATTTCAATTGTTCAGGATAACTGAATTTATAGAGACAATTTATTCTCAGTGTGAATTATAGAAATCATTTATTGTATGCAAGAACAAAGGCTTTCCAGAGAACTTATTCATTACAATATAGACTGGGTATTGATATAAGACGTCAATCACAGGTTATGTTCATAGCACTGCCATTAAAATGCTACATAACATTAGATTAGACTAACTTAAAGATTCATATGTGAGGAAACCAATTGGTACCTGTGGCTTCTATGTAACTGTTGTTATTATTCATGAGCTCTAGGCTGCATATTAATCATCTCCTTTCTTTATCATAGTTAGAGAAGTTGAATACAAAAGAAATCAAGATTCATCATCATATGTCATCGTGAGATTCAAATGGAAGCATTTTCTGTTTTTCAAATTTTGAACGTCAAATGTTATGTATAATGCACTGCTTATTTGTCTTAATAAGCATACCATTCTACTATAGTATTTGACAAAAATAAGAGAATAATGACTAAATACTCCATAAAAATTAAGGGAGCATTTCAAATCACTAGAAGAGTGGAAAATCTCATTCTATTTTTATTTTTCAATTAGTTTTTTCTTGTCTTTTTCCGTTAGTTTGATCTGGATTTTCTAAATCTTCAGCAACAATGAAACATATTTGGATGTATATTAAAAAACCCTTGGTTTAAAAACACTTTCAGTAGGGTCTTGAGAACTGATCAGAGTGCTAAGAACATAAGAACATAAGAACGGCCGTACTGGATCAGACTAAAGGTCCATCTAGCCCAGTATCCTGTCTCCCGACAGTGGCCAGCACCAGGTGCCCCAGAGAGGGTGGACCGAAGACAATGATCAAGCGATTTGTCTCCTGCCATCCCTCTCCAGCCTCTGACAGACAGAGGCCAAGGACACCATTTTATCCCCTGGCTAATAGCCTTTTATGGACCTAACCTCCATGAAATTATCTAGCTTCTCTTTAACCTCTATTATAGCCCTAGCCTTCACAGCCTCCTCTGGCAAGGAGTTCCACAGGTTGACTACACGCTGTATGAAGAAGAACTTCCTTTTATTAGTTTTAAACCTGCTCCCCATTAATTTCATTTGGTGTCCTCTAGTTCTTCTATTTAGGGAACTAATAAATAACTTTTATTTATCGGCCCTCTCCACACCACTCATGATTGTATATACCTCTATTATATCCCCCCTCAGTCTCCTCTTTTCTAAACTGAAAACTCCCAGTCGCTTTAACCTCTCCTCATATGGGACCCGTTCCAAACCCCTAATCATTTTAGTTGCCCTTTTCTGAACCGTTTCCAAGGCCAAAATATCTTTTTTGAGGTGAGGAGACCACATCTGTACACAGTATTCAAGATGTGGGCATACCATAGTTTTATACAGGGGCAGTAAGATATTCTGGGTCTTATTGATGATGCAATTTAAAGTTGTTCTAGAAGTTTTGTTCAAGCTAGGTTTTTTTTTTGTTAAAGCATACTAATAATAATTGTAAAGTGGAAATGCAAAATGCTGAAGTTTAATATAAGTATGGAATCCTAGCCCTGGTCTACACTAGAACTTTATTTCAAAATAACCACTCCCCCAAGGTCAAATTATAAGCAGAGCATCCATACTACCAAACCCATTATTTTGAAATAATGGGCCGCAGAATTAAAAATCTGTACTCCTGCTTCCATCAGGACTAATGCTGAATCCAAAATAGTTATTTTGAAATAATGGTAGTGTGGATGTGCTGGTGCCACCATTCAGAAATAATTACTCCCCAGAGTAATTTGAACTAATTACTCCCCAGTGCTTCCTGGGGCTCTAAGTCTGAGGTAGCACGTCCACATTAAAGGAGCCTATCTTAGACTAATTTTGAGGCTTCCCTGGAGTGTGGACATGCTAGTTCAAATTTGTTAAATTGGAAGTTATGAAGTACAATTTAGTAATTTTGAAATACTTTCCTAGTGTAGATATGGCCCTAATGACTATACAGCAAAACTCTCTGGTAGAAAATAGAAATTAAAATTTATAAGAATGTGGTCTATCAGCTACACAATTGATTTATTTTGCAAAACAAAAACCCAGGACTGAGGAAATTTTTTCACTCAAATCTTTTACAAATATTTCTGAAATGTTCTCTCGTTATGGCTGTTAACTATGGGAAAATATTGAAAAGAGTGACTTTACTAAAATATTAACATACCACTGTGTGAGATAAAAATAACATAATATTTAAACTATATTACATAAAAGTAATTTTCCCCAGTAAATGTAAACATATATCTGAAAAAAAACCAAGCACCATAAAATATTAAAATGTATACATCCATGTGAGGAAAACATTGTTAAATCATTTACACTCCTTTCCTCCCTCCCTCCTCCGGTGTGATATTCATTAGTGGAAAATGGTGAAGTTATCACATAACCTAATGATGAAGGTGTGGTACTTCAGCAAAATATCAATTTCATACTAAAGAAATTATATATGAATAAAAATAAAATAACATTATTGTTTACCATGGCAGTAAGATCTGCAAAATAGTACACAATAATATTTTCGAAAACAGCTGAAGAGCAGTACTAATGCCTCTATATTTTTCAAATGTTTGTATCCAATGTATTTATAAAAATCTTTTCAAAGGTTTGTGAGAAATAAATCTAATCTTCCTCTTTTTTTAAACTATTCATCGTATGTGTGCTAACTTACTGAATTCATCCTTCATGCAATTCCAGTTTATTAAAGAGGTTAAAAATTTATAAAACTCTGATGGGATATGGTTTTAATGCTTCATCACACTACCCATCATTTGCTTTTCAATCTAGATCAGAATGATCTTTCCTACTTCTCTGCAATCACCTACCTGCACAGCTAATATTTTCTGAGCATTCTCATGAGAGGCTGCCTGGAACTTCGCCAGCCCAGCCTGGCTATAGAGGCCTCGCTGTTTGAAGTACTCCACCAATGCCCTGTGCATCCTGCTTTGTAGCACAGAGAGCTAAAGGGAGGAAGAAGGGGGAAAAAGTCAGAGCAGGGAAAGGAAATTAATGGCAGTGTTCAAGAAGAATGATGGAGGGAAATATAGAAAGCAGTCAATAGCCCATTCTGCACTGTACGGACCTGACAGGAATTTCACAGTCTCTTGATTTTTCAGCCCACTCATGTGCATTCATCAGAAACCAGTCACATCTGGCTGCCAGGATGGGGGGTTAATTTTCTCTAAATGCCTCAGCAGTTTTGTTCTAGCTGAGGCAAACTCTGTGACTGCAAAGCTGATGAGTAAAATATTTCTACTTCACCCAGTTTAACTCAAAACCGATAGCCTCAGGACATATTGAACCTTTCTTAAAAAAATAATCTTTTGAAGCTTTTTGAATGGCACATCAGGTCAGGGCAAAGTTTAAAATGCAAGTTTAAGACTTTGATGGACACCATGGCTTTTTTTTCCCCTTGTAAAGCTTATCATAGCTTGGCAATGTGTGCTTTAGAGCATGACAAAACTAAAGAGAATTAACTTAGCCATCAACTGCTGAGGGAGAACAATAACAGGAAAGAAATTTCCAGATAGAACTCCCTATTAATCTACCTAGCTATAACCATGTGACATGGAAGCATCTAACTGCACTAAATTACAGCAAATGCAGCTGTTGAAAAGTGACACTGCTTTTTATAAGACTTTATATGAAAAAGTACCAGAGATCTTAGAACTGTGCTTATTAGAAGGTGGTCTAAATAAAATGATTAAAACTGGAAATGTAAACACTGTATTTTCATAATTTCTCAGTTACTATAGCAGCATCATTCTAACATCCCATAGTTAAGACGGTGTCTATAGTTCCGTAATTTTCAAGTGTTTATAACTCAAACAGAAAAACTTAACATAGCAACTCTCAGTCTAGAAGCAACATCTTTTAATCATATTTGAAAAGCTACCAGTACAAAATGTAGTTGAAGATAGCTAAGTGCTCTTTTAATTGAAAGTTGGTTTATTTCTTAAACTGAAATTCTAGCATTTGTCCATAAACTGGACTAGTGCTTTTGGCTGATCTGGAAAAACACAAATTAAAACCAACTAAATTAATTTGTTTAGAAACATGATTTTGTATTCAAGCACGCTAATTATTTCAGTAACTATTTCACAGCTATTGTTAGGACACGGCCTTTATGCGTATGCCTGTCAACTACATTAACACAATAGATTCTAGCATTCCTTCGGAAATGCTAAAATTCATTAAGGTCAATGCTACAGGTCAATAATAAGACTGGTAGTAAAGAAGCCTTTACATAATAAGATATAACTGCTCTTAGGAACCAGCATAGTGTGCCATGAAAAAAATCCACTTTCTCAGGAGGATGTAGATTATAGTGACACAAAAGGAAATACTATGGCCTATAGAGGAATTAATAAGCATTTTCAAAATTAATGGTCTAATTTTCAGAGGTGCTGAAATTCCACAACTCCCATTGGCATATGAAAGCTGTGACTACACAGCATTTTAGTAATTCAGGGCACAAAAATGTTAAAGCATATATTTGTATGACAGAATTTATAATTTATTAATATGAATTTGGCTATGTGAATCGCATATATGCATTAATATGAGATAAAATAAAAAATTAGGTAAATAAAAATGTTTAAAAAAAAATCAAAATCTGAACCCAAACATGAACATCTTTTTCAATCTAAGTTTGTCTAAGTATTTCTGCTCCTTCTTTGACCCCAACACACTAAGTACTCTTTCTGAAATCTATCTTGAGGTCTCTATGGACATTAAACCTCTAGTTTTCCAACTATTGCTTTCAAATCTTAGAACAGTGGTCACTAACCAGTGGATTGAGATCTACTGGTAGATTTTGGAGCCTCTGACAGGTGATCTTGACTGGTTTGGCCAAGAGGCTATCAAGTGCTGGCACTTCAGCTGCCCCTTCCCGCACTACTGTGCACCTTCTGCCCTTTGCCTTGGAGCTGCCCCCGCTTTCCCCCACTTGCTAGGCAGGGCAGGGAAGGAAGAGGAGAGGGTGCTGATGTCAGGGTGCCCCCTCTCCCACCCTGTAATCTGTCTCCACAGTATGGAAGGGGGGCACCACAGGGCCTGGGATGGAGGGAGTTTGCTGGCTGCTTTTGAGAGTGGTGCAGGGCCAGGGCAGGGGTGAGCCTGCTTTAGCCCCACTGCACCACCTGTGGTAAGCCGTATCCAGCTGGAGCCTGCATCCTGAACCTCTGCCCCAGCCATAAACCCCCCTCCTGTACCGCAAGACCCTGCCCTAGCCCTGAGCCCCCCCCAGACTCAAACTTCCTTACAGAGCCTATACCCTGAACCCCCTCCTACACCCCGACACCCTGCCCCAGGCTCAGATCAGAGCAACTCCAAATCCCTTAACCCAAGACCCGAGTCTATACTCCAACCCTCTGTCCCTGCTTGATGAAAGGGAGGAAGCATGGGGACTGAGGGAGGATGGAGTGAGCAGGAGTGGGGCCTTGGAGAAGGAGCACAAAGGAGGCTGGGCAAGGGCATTTGGGTGTGAGGTAGATCCTGGATTGCATTTAAATTAAAAAAAGTGATCTTGTGCCTAAAAAGGTTGGCGATCACTGTCTTAGAAGATCTGAGGCTTTTCTGGGGCATCAGCAGAGAGGCAGGTGAGGGAAGAAACAACACATGATATTTTAATAAAACAGTCTGCTTCAATCCAACAGAGAAAATATCGGATGGAAGTCAAGCCACTATGCAATGTTTTCAGTGTCTGATATCTGCAAGAAGGAATGTAGTTACAAAATGGGAGAAGAAAATGAAGGTCTCTTTTTCTGTGGAGAAGAAAATGAAGGTCAGGAAAGGATGGTTGGATGAGGGCAGAAGGATTTGGTTCAAGATCATGAGAGGGCTACACAGAAAGATATCAGAAGGTTTGTTTCCATCCAAATTTTTACCTTTTCCAAGCTAAATGAAACCTTCAAAACTTGAGTGCTATCTATCAGAAATAATTTAGTACAGTATGTATATAGGAAATTGCTGCCTTATAATGCCTAAGGCCAAGCAGGAATTTCTATTATTTTAAAGAAGTGAAAGAAAACTTGCAAATTGCACTGAGACTAGATGAGCACATATTCCTATCACTCTTATACTTATCCCTGTCCTCCTCTCCGTCTTTCATTGTTTATTATGCCCACTTGCCTCTTGTCTTTAATTAGAATGAGAATGGGGCAGCATCTTACTATGTGTTCAGTGCTTCCCACACTGGGACATCAGTCTGACTGGAGTTTTTGGGGCTACTTAACACAAATATTTATTCACTTACTCAGAAATTTCTGAGTGGGCTTCATCTGGGTTTATTTGGCAAACTAGTCTCTTGAGTAAATAATACATGTCTATATTTCATTAAAAGCTAATGTAAGCAGCTGGCCATCCCAGGAAAAGAACCAATGCCACCCCCAAGTCTGAGCCTCAGGGCACAATTTATTGATGAAACAGAAAACTCAGGAATGACACCAAAATAAAACAGTTCCTGCCCTACGTAATCTGTCCAGAGGTTTTTTTCCTTGCCTTTCTCAGGGCACAGTAACACTGCACTCAGAGCTTGTGGAGTGACTGCAACATGGATAGACATTCTTGAGGCAGCTTTAACATCAATGAAGGTGTGGCAGCATAGACTGTACAAGGTTGCCCTGTGCACATATTTCGGTGACTAGCCTGTGTTGCAGTGACTGCGTGATTATTGCTATTTGACCTTGCTGGATCAAAGCTCTCTGAAGTATGTCTACATTTGCAGTCATAGCTCTGAGTGCATTAGAGACATGCCCTTATTCCCTTTAGGGTGTGTCTAGACTACAGGGTTTTTTCGAAAAAAAGTGGCCTTTTTTGAAAAAAAACTTCCCCTGCGTCTAGACTGCTGCTGTGTTCTTTCGAAAGTAAATCGAAAGAATGTGGCAGTTTTTTCGACCGCGGAAAATCTCATTTTATGAGGAAGAATGCCTTTTTTCGAAAGTGCTCTTTCGAAAAAAGGTGCTGTATAATGCAAACTGTGCTTTTTCAAAAGAGAGCTTTTTCAAAAGAGAGCATGCCTGGGTGCTCTCTTTCGAAAAAGTGGCTTGCTTTTTCAAAAGTACTGGTTGTAGTCTAGATGCTTTTTTTGGAAAGATTGTTTTTCGAAGGTATCTTTCAAAAAAGCCTCTTTCGAAAGAGGCTTGCAGTCTAGACATAGCCCCAAGGAGGTCCTGAGCTTTCCTTAAATCCTCTGCTGGGTCATGTGACAAACAGGTAGCCTTTCACTCTTTCACAGTTCTTTAATCCTATCATTGCTGTTAACTTCAAAGATAAAAAGACAATAATGAAGTAATTGATAAGATTACTATCTTGTAATAACCCTTGAGTAATCAGAAAATAAATTTATAAGTGTAGCTGACAAATATTATTTGTTTTATGCATTACTAAATAAACTGAATTTAAAATGGTTATAAACAAGAATGTCCTTTCTTGAGAGAAAATCTGTAGGAACAGGGAGAGAACCCAGACACTGCCTGATATTCACCTCATTTCTGACAAAAGCAAATATAGGCAGATGGCTATCTAGCCATCCCAGGAAAAGAACCAATGCCTTCCCCAAATTTGGGCCTCACAGCCTTACAGAAAACAAAAACAGAAAAGTCAGGTATGACACCAAAATAAAACAATTCCTGCTATACATGAGCAAGACATGCACAGTGTTGAGGCAAAGAATGGGCTACCAAAGGCACAAATAGCACAGCCTCAAACCCTTGGAGGTTCACGGGAAACGAATCTCTAGTGCTCCTGCAGTACCAGCCATGCAATATTACCTTCCCAAGACTATGACATTGCCTCCATTGGCTGCAAAATAACCCCTCTCAGTAGAATAGTGGAGGCTGGTACAGGCACAGAAAAGAAGTCATTGCTGCAAGAAGAAACATTAACTTTCACAGATATCTACTTTGCGGGGAGGGGAGAATGCTGCAGTCAATGGTTCCTCCCACCCCTTACCCAATAA